ACAACTTCTGTGCCATAGGTATATTCAATATTTTTATATCTTCATAAGTACATGTCGTCATCTCCCAATATATATTTGATATATCTTCTTCTCTTTCATGGATACTTTTACTTGTGACACATTAATCGGTTGTAGTTTTAGGGCTCTAAGACATGTGGATATTATTCTTCATCGTTGGATATTAAAAGAAAAATATATCAGAGCCGGAATCGAACGCACTATCTCAGGGATGAGAATCACATGCTTAACCGCTAGACTTAAAAACTTATCATTACGTTCTTGCTGTGATGGTAAAACATGGCCTTTTCGTTATGGTAGATAGAACAGAATATACAACAAAATCACTAGCATGTGCTAGTATACAATTTAATGGTTGCGTCGAGTTTTGATATGAACAAATTACCTGTGCGTGAGAATTGTGATTAGTGGTCGCAGAATTAAAGGGTTGGGCGTTACTTTTCACTGTGCATTAAAAGTTTATTATTAAAAAAATAATTATCCTATGCGGGGCTAATCCTATGGACCAAGTCAAAGTTGCAAGAAATATATTGGGGTAGGTTTTTTAACGTTAAAAATAGGCAGATTAAGCCTGCAAGAACTTTGAGGTTGTACCTTAGCATCCCGACACTTTAAACTTAAATGTGTTTACACTTCTTTCTAATATAGATTACAATTTTGGATAATAAAATTTCGAATCTTTTTGTCTGTAAAAATAATGACTGTTCGGTATTGTTTTTCGCGTAAATTGAAATACGAGTTTTAAGAACAATAAAAAAACCCGTATTTTTTTTTTAAAGAAGCTCCGTGTTAAGAAATGTCTTGTCGTATATTAATTATATTCTTATTTCCATAAACGCACTTAGCCTTATACATAAAGATCGTGTAAGTTTTCGAAATAAATGTGACAAAATATTTTAAGTAATGTATGTATTTTTAGGGTTAAATTTAAAATACTTATCTACGATATCGGAGTTCAATATTTAAAAACCGTTAAGTATAGTATATTGGTTTTCTAATAATATTATTCTCTTTGTTCGCTATGACTGGTTGAAGCACTAATCACTATATATTTGATCTGTTTTTCCGCTATATTGTTTATGTTTACATTAAAATGTTGATTTCAACATGTTTTTTATTTCTATTTAAATTAAAATTTAGGATAGTCTATATTCTATAAACATCTATATTTAAAGCTAAATACTCCAATTGTTTTATAAATCGTTTCTAAATTGCATTTTTATTGCTTCATTGATTCGCTTTTCAAATCAACGTGGAACGCATTTCTATGCAGATTGGAAAACTTTTCGAGCAGCCAATTAAACAATAACCGATGGACTTGTCTCGGGCTTGTTTAAAATTCATCAAACCTAAAATTTGCATGTCTACTTCGTTATACCACATTTTACTTACACAGTAGAGAAACAGATAAAGCAGCAACTGTGTTACGGTGTAATGATATTACAATATAAGATTTTAAAGTGTAGTACAAAGCGCTGTAATACTCCATATATTGACCTATATATGCCATTCTGTTTATGGTTACAACGCAAAAAAATATTCATTTGTTTTACAAAAATAGCTGATACTTTTTTTTCATTGAATAGATAAAACCTCTCTAAGTACTGTGTGTACGTACAAATTTTAACGTTACAAAACTATATTACGATAACATTTCGTATTAAACTATGCTGATAATCGTGTACGTTTTATATAAAGAATATCATTGTACTTATATATATGTAAAGAAACTTGTATGTTTCATTATTATGTACTAGATGGCGCCATCGTGGTTGGAAAAAGCAGTTTGAAGTTGACAGAAGTGAAAGTCATCGTTATTGAATTCAGTATTGTTTAATTGTGAGGTTGTTGTAAAAAGGAATTGATAATTTTAATAATAGACTTTTAATGTCGTTTCTTTATTTTCAGAGCAGCACATTTGTTTATTTAAATTCCATCAATTCCATATAAAATAAGATAGATAATCTTATATATACGGAAACCAAACTTCAGTTAGATTCAAAATAGAAAATCGGAAATAACAATTTACTTTTGCTGTCGAAGACGTGTCGGGGCGGAACATCTTGGGACCTATCTTGATACCTAACTAGAAACTTATCTCAGGACTTATTCGAACATTCAGAACTCAATTGAAAGTCAATAGCGGTAAAGAGTTAGATCTATTCTCGAAAGGCAATTCTTATTTCATTCCTATATAATCCTAATTGTATTTATTTAATCTATAGAAACGTACTTTGGATAGAACAAAATGCAGGCTGTCCTTACAACAATACAGCTGAAGAGACGGTAGACTGATTTGGCTACGAAGGAACAACACCGAACGAATTATAATTATAGCCATCTTACCTCTTATCTTACGTAACTTCAAAGAAATAATGATTATTTATGGGATAGGAGGCAAACGTTTGGGCGGGGCACTTAAAATCACATTCGCAACACCAGGAGGTTTGCAAGTGTGTTACCGGCCTATAAGGTAGTGTTACGCTCTTATCTTAAAGGCCGCTAAGTCGTAACGGTTTGAAAATACCTAGAATAGCAACTGCTTCCATGAAGTGGTCTATTTCAAAGACATCTTCCTAAAATGTGGAATTTATTTACATAAATAAGTAATACTTTATTATACTATTTATATTTGCTAATGATATATACTTTACACAATACCTCCGACAATAACATGGTCGGGGAATTGGCCAAAAAAATGTATATAAAAACAGAATAATTTATAATCTTTTTTAAAAAATATCTTAAAGAAAGCTTTACGAAGTATACGTTTCATATATTTTCGTTGAAACAATTTTCAGTATAATAGTAACGTTGTGGAGCGATAGCAATCTCAATAAAACGCGGCTGAGCCATCCAGATTTATAGCCTCTTGACTCAGGTATGTCTCTGCTTCGACGACTATGCCTACGCGTAGTGTCAGTTGTGAAACTCAATGGCCCGTGAAATTTTTCTTTGAATTAAACGTAAACCTTATGGCGATATCACTAGTATTTAGAAGAAAAACAAGTTTAATGTGTCAACATAGGTGATAATAAAGAGCTCCCTTTATTCATGAACGTAGGTTATCAGTTACATAATATAGATATTTATTGCCATAATAACAAGAGCTTGTGACATTGCAGACAATAGGCAAGTAAATCAATGTTGACTCGGTATACATTTGAGAAACAATTCCCAATCTGATAGTTCTATAGACTGCTCTTATAGACTTAAATAATTTATTCCGTCTAAATTATTTATTTACTATAAATTGAACGGCGTGAAGTGGGGTGACAACATCTGGGACTGTTCATCATCATTTATTTGATAAATTATGTTCTTACATCGTCATAGTAGAACCTTCGTATTTTTCATACTATTTTAAAGCAAAAGTTGCCGAGAAATATTTCTCAAATTTGATGTTGCATCCGTATATTGAGTTAGCAGTCGTCCCCTGACGTTGCCTGCGAAACTATATTTATGCACTTGAAAGACGGTACGGTATTAGGAATTTTTATTTTGCCTATGTTTTAGTTGTATGTACTTCATAGTTAGAGAGAATGAGAGAATATTCAGAGAAAATAAGACTTTAATAATATCTAAGTGAAGTTGCTAACAAATTAAGATTACATTTAAACTAAATTAAACACATTAAAACTAAACTATGATCAATTTATGTGTATCCAAATATGTGGAACCAGCTACCCACTAAAGTATTTCCGAACCAATTCGACTTAGGGTCCTTCAAGAAAAGAGTATACCTATTCTTAAAAGGCCGGCAATGCACTCGCGAGCCCTCTGGCTGAGAGTGTTCAAAAGCGGCGGTGTCACTTAACATCAGATGAGCCTCCTGCTCGTTAGCCCCCAGTTCTAAAAAAAACTAAAAATAACAGCTGTTTTATGAAAAATAAATCAACGCCGGAAATCCTATAGTCGATTTCAAGTCACTGCCCATTTATTACTATTTACCGTATAAGATATTTACTATGATACTACCAATCACTTTATGAAAAATATCTTTGTTATCATCCAGTCGGGTAAAAATTATTAACTTGATTGATCATAACATAAAATATAACTTTATTCAGAGCTGTGAAAGCACTTTAATAGAACGCTCTAATTTATAATCTTCGCGATTGCGTCAGCAATTTTGTTTACTGCCGCGAAAAATACAGCATTTTTATATCCCACTTTCATCTTATAAAGTACTTTGTGTTATACGTTTTTAACAACCTTATTATGTTTCGTAGAATTAATATATATATAGCCTTAATAATAAGGAAGTTATGAGTTTAACAATCTCTTCCTACTTTGTCCCAAACAGCATTATGTTTTAATTTTATATAATATTAAGTCTTAAATTTTGTAATTTTTTAAAATTAATTTTGTAAAAGTTTTGTAGTATCGGAAACATTCCATACACAAAATTCGAAATAAAATCAATTTGTTTCGCCTATAGTTTTTATAGGCGAAACAAATTAACTTTTACGTATTATGTACATGATATCTGTTTTTTTTTTATAAATAATATAAACAAATCCAATTTTGTATTTATAAAATTTATTGAGTTAAAATGTATTTTGCTTTATGAAAGGTATGTGAGAAATGTTGCATACGGTTTTCCGTGTAAGACACGATTTTTCCTGACTCCCTATGATTTCGACTTAATAACTTTTACCGGACTGCGTATTTTATTTACCAAATTTTGTAAATTTGATTTTTCTTTGAAGGCGAACCTTTAAAAAATTAGTTTCGCAATGCAAAGAGAAAACTGCATGCCGTGTGTAGTGTAAAATAGACACTAGGACGCGTGGTGGTGAGAGGTGGCAGATTTATGAGAGGGATATTTCATCGGATGGCCCGCGGTGATGTGACCACCCCACCAGCCTCCCCTAGTAAGCTCCCTTTGGAAGGTCGAAGGCCCCCTACGGCCGCGTTATACTGAAAAACTCGTGTTACTTTTATTTACAATATACGGTGAAATTGATGTGTTTTGACTAATGGTTAAATCAATATTTTTAATACGAATGATTTACTCTATATTTTATGTTTTTTGTATCAAAGATCAGGTAATGAAATATTCACTTAAAATTAAATTTATATCGCATAAATATCTCAATATTATAAATATATTAGACATAGACATAACATTAAAAACAACACACAAACATACATAAACACACAAAATAACAATAATTAACAATTTTATTATGCTTTAAGTGCGCTGGACTTTATTACTACGGCCGTAGACTATTTTGTTGCAGAGTCATTTCAAAATGATATTTCCTAATTTACTCATTAAGATCGTTCGTTTATATTTCGCTCCAATCGGTAGCATAAATAATCTTATATAGCTTTCTTCATGAATAAACTAACACAAAAATATTTTTATAATTCAAACCAGTAGTCCATTTATTCGATTTAAAATCAATTTAATTCACATAAGACCCGTAAAGTCCGCTTTTCATCTGGCACTATTTTGGTAAAGTAAACAAAACGTAAAATATGGAAAAGCCCTTACGATGCACAAACAAGCCCGATGGACGCTTAAAAAATGTATTTATACAGTGCTCATATTTCGCTCAGTTTATTTTTCACAGCCGAATATCATGTGGGATTTATATTTGTAATATGTTTAACTATAGACGCGGTCTTTTGCAATTGTATGTGTGGTTTGTAATTACTTTATATAATTTCTATAGGACGTGGTATTAACTATACTATAATTTCAAGACAGTGAACATTCTTACTACATTCTAGTCTTGTAATAGAACTAATTAAAATATTACAAAAAAAGGGTGCGTGTACTTATGTACGCGCGTAAGAAATTACACTTCTTTGGCATTATTAAAAATAGTTTTTGATTGCATGCAAATAATAAATTACAATTAAATAATCAAAGACTGGAAAAGGAGTCATTATAGGCGATAAAGTTCAGTTTACATTTGAAAAATTGAATAAATAAACATTTATTATTATTCTCTTACATTAAGTGTAACATAAATTCTATTATTATTCGAATGTTGTCTTTAAATTATGTCCAATGCCGTAGCATCTTAAGTTTTATCAGTACAGAAACTTTTTATATGTCTTCAAACTAGCTCAACCTAATATACATAAATTACACGAAATAATTTATTTGTAGGCGATAAACTTTAGGACCTCATTATAAAATAAAATATACTGAAATGATAAATAACAAATGATTACTAACAAAATCTATGAGGTTATTATATTTCATTTGTAGTTTGGCACTTCTTGCGCTAACCATATATTATAGTTTTTCCATAATTCCCTTTGCAATAAATTGGAAGTTTTAAAAGCGACACAAACAGAGACTGTTTTAACTCAACTGAATTGGACCTTGGTTGAATATAAGTGCAAGCGATGCACGGTTGATGTTGCACAGTTCACAGTCGATAGCACTGATTACTGAACTCATTCCGCACTGATGGACTACGAAACTTGCCGGATGCTGGAAAAGATTCCACTTCCAACCGTTTAATATTTCATCAATTATCTGTGAACTTATCTTTAAGTACATTTGGTTAAGTTAATGAAGATGGAATAAAAATTATTTATATATTTCATGTAAAGAGCGTACCAAGTCTTAAAAGACCGACAACGCACGTGCAAGCCTTCCGGCGATGTGAGTGTCCATGGGCGGTATCACTTAATATCAGATGAGCGACCTGCCCGTTTGCCTCCTGTTACAAACAAATTTCGGTAAATAAGTGTTTCGTCTAGAATTGAAACCGTTAAGCATAAACGTAATAAATATAACATTTTACGATCTTATCCTGGACCAGACCAAATTTCTGTGTTAGTTTCATTCATAATTAGAGTTCAAGTAACTCTTTTTACAGTTTTTGTTTTGTCGGGAATTGAATTATTCACTACATATAAGCCACAACGGTGATTCATCGTCAAAACAACTCCTTTGATTTGCCATTAATTGAAACCGTCACAGGCATAACCAAATAATATATATATACATTACATCTATAGTAGTGTAGATGTTAATGGCGTTACAATCATTTAGGTCTAGGCCTCAGATTTTTGTATCTGTTCCATGATCATTACATAGCAAGTTGGTGATCAACGTTCTGTGACACTTGCCTTTTTGTGTCTAAGACATGCCGGTTTCCTCTCGATATTTTCCTTCGAGATCGAACGGGATCGAACAGACGACCCCAGGCATGAGAGTCGTATGTTATAACACTGCTCGATGCTGTTAGATGTTACAGCCACCTCTAAAATTTAATATATGAAATCCATACACGCAATTCAAAGTGAGATAAATCGATCTAATACAACGTAATGAATTTAAAAGCCAGTCTGCGATCGCTCAATATAATATTCAACCGCGTAACTGAATAACCTCGGGTGTAATCTAGTTTTTCCATATTTGCATAGTTCCATTTGCATAATACTCTCGAATATATTATTGTAACATACGTACCAAGCGTTACTGTCTCCCTATAATGCATTTATCCCTCAAATATATAATTTAGTTTTAACTTAAATACTTATCCGTCTCTTTTCATTTCAGTCTAAACACAATTTAACTGAAAGAGACGAGAGAGGACTTTCGTTTAAAGAGTCTAATTAGACTTGAGTTTTTATGAAGTTGAATTGAATTTCAGTGTTCGACAGTTGCGGTGCTTGCCTTGACAGTAATAAATAGTTTTAATTGTATATTCACGGGTAAATAAACATTAAAGGAATAATAATTTATAGATTTGGTTTTTATATATAAAAATGTAGATAGTGTATGTTATATTATATTGTCTACGCAAGTACTCATTTAAACCCTAATTCCAAACCGTCTCAATGAGTTGTCAGCGAGATACTTGAATATCTCGCTGACAACGAGATTATATTCAAGACATTTCATATATATGACAAGACTCGCTAAGAGAATTATTTAAAGAGATCAGTATTTTAACAGTTGCCTCCCAATATGTGCATGAAAATATTATGTACGTTTATGAAAACTTTAATACATTTGTAAAGCGCAGTGACTGTCACAATTTAAACACAAGAAGTAGGAATAGACTTGATTTTCCAGCTTTCAGACTTAATTAAACTGCTCACTCATTAATGGGGAAATGTGTATACATTATATCTGTATAGATATATAACAAAATTCCAGATCATGTAACCAAACTTCCGCTACATACGTAACTTTACATCAAGGAAACCTTAATGAAAAAAGCATATTACACAGTTCAAGAATACATAGATGATAACAATGTGTGGGCACTAATGCCGCTATGAGACGGCGGTAATTGACACAATTTGTACAAAAGTGTACAAATTGTACCTAGATGAATAAATGACTTTTGTAAAGTAAGTGTATATTTCTCAAACTGAATTTTAATAATTTCAGAGTCTCGAAGAGCGAGAAAAGAGGCATTCAAGTCACAAAGAGCAACTATCGCGGGAACAGCGGTATCTCAGACGGCGGTTAGCACAGCTGCGCACGAGTCGAGACGTCACCCGGTCGATATCCGAAAGCTCGATGGCGCACACGACGCGCGCAGATTCCTTCTCCTCTTTAGAGTCCTCTTCTGGTGTCTCCACCGCGGAGAGATCGCCTTCATCTGTTTCTGAAAGTGGTAAGTGGCTATAATTTTTATTTACATTAATTTTGTAGTTGGACTTATTTGGAATAATATAGAATTTATTCTCGTCACAAAAAATATGTCTATACAGGTAAGAAAGTAGAGAATGCATGAAAATAGACGTGCTTACTGCTTAATGCAGTTTCTTCCAGACAACCTAGACGTTAATAAGTTAAACGGAAATATAAAATACACAATTAAAACTTCACCAAATAACTGGGTGAGACCCAATTCTGAGATGTTTAGTCATCCAAAGTTTAAGTTTGAAGTTCTATTATTTTATTTCGTCCGTTAAATCTTTTGGCTACAGATTTCTAATTACAACGGCTACATCGAAACTCCATAAAACGAATCCCTCGTTCTCGCTGCAATTCCGAAATCCAATAATTAACAAGAACTGCAAGGCTAATAATACCTAGAGTCAAAACAAAGGATTAAAGCCGATCAGTCAGGTGCTGTTGACAGGACATCCGCACAATAGCCGGCTCTGACAGTAATGTAATTCTGAGCTTCAACCATTGTTGGGGAGATGCGAACATTACGATATGAGCAATATATATTGATTTAGCTCCAACGGTATATAAGGCGTTTGAGAGTTTTGAGAGACTTTATGTACACATTAATAATATTTAGCTCACATATAACGAATAATTGCTATTTAATTTATACATAGGTATTTGACTTACTATAATTAAATTTGTAAATCATTACGATTCCAAATCAGCACAAAAGCTTTAGACGAGAAATTTTTTAGACGAAATTAAATAGCCAATAAGATTTACGTTAATGAGGAATCGCTCTACGCCGTAGCTGCTACATAGCTACAATTTGCGTAGATTGATATTATTACAATATTCCCACTATATTTCATTTTTGATACACAAAAGAAGTTTTGAGGCATTTCAAGATTTAAAATTCAGTGAGATGATCGTTTAATCGTCAGCTTAACTGAATAACCCAGTTTGAAAAAGCAGTAATGAGCTTATAAAATACTACGTCGTTCGATGTTTTAGCTTATCGTCTTACAAGATAATGCGCCTAGCTCGAAACAAAATTAAATTATGTAAGGCTTCATACAAAAGGCCTGCTTGAGCATTGTGAATACTTGGATGATCTAATGGATATTAAAAAGTTTCATTTCACTGAGCAATTTGTATGATATCATTTACTTTGAAGTATTGAGATACGCCAATGTAAATACGTTAATGTAAATAGCTACTCTACGGTATCTTATGTTTTATTTTATATTGTTTTAAACACGAATGTGAAAATTAATAGAAATTCAAACAAACACATAGTTGTGTCAGTCTTATATCTGTCACACTGTGTATAACAATTCGATGATGTGTCAATTCACTTTTTATAATATACAATTTTTAGCACATGGCATATTTCACGTCATTCCTTTGTTTGTCACTTTGGCACTTTACTTTCGAATTACTTTAACATATTTTTAAATTACTTTCGGTTTTTTACAGACACAACATTTATTTTACATAAACATTATGAAATCAAACGTCAACTGTCAGTGCTGAGTGTCATCTAGCATCCGTCAAAAGAGATTGAACGCCATTTTGATTTAGCAATAGCGGCGTACTGCGTAAGATATTCAGCACAAGAAACGTTAACTATACAAAATAAGATTTTAATGTCCAGCCAATAGCAACAACTTTTTACTACATTTATGTGCTAAAAATGCGAAGACGTCATAAGCCAAATCACAAAATAAATATACGTGATTGCTTCCGCACCCGCCCTATTTCCTGTATTTTATGAATTAACTTTGCGAACACGTATAAGTTTTTTATTCACATATAAATATATGTTTATGTCAAGGAGTGTCGTAAAAATTGATTGGATAGTACCGTTAAGACTTGCGTTATCTTACTATGAACACGAAATTTTCGTTAATATTATTTCTAATCTCTTTCTAGTAAAACATCAAAACATCAAAAAGGTTTATTTTTATTTATGTAATGAAACACACAGTAGCTTACAAGCACCATACAACCACTGTAGGGTATAACCTATTCCTGCCTCGAGTGCCACTCAGCAGTACATATTTAAACACCTTAAGCTAAAGCTTTAAATAATATCAATCATACTAATATATACATATAGCTGTTATCCGATATTAATGTTGGTTTGAACTTGGCCATTACCTTACCTAGCCTACCATAACATAATACAACACACATATACAATATATATATATATATATATATTAACTGGTCCAATTTTATTAAAAACAAACGTTTTGGGATATTTTAATAACTTAAAGTAACAGACAACAAATCTTTATTGATTGAATAATTAATTAATACTGTATAATCCAAATATAACCTCAGGCAAACTTTAGCACACTACAGAAAGACTACGCGAGCTATTAAATTAATCTACACACATGAAGACTTTTAATTACATTAAAGCATTTAACCTTCAAATTTCGGCCTAATTAAGCACAGAATTAAGTAGATTTTCCCTCTTAATTACTTCATTTCTATATAATGGTTACCATTTAACTAACGGCCCGTTACCGAAATACGGAAAGATTTGCATAGTATAGAGAAGTAGGCTGCGCGGGGCCATTGAAAAAAGACATTTTCATAAAAAAAGACTGACATTTTTGTCTACGTTAGAGCTTTTTAATACGGAAAGCGGCGTAAAAGTCTTCAAAGGGCAAAAGCTTTCAGAGTTTCCATTCATAGGCAGTTTGTATGGTGATTGCTACCGTAAAAATAAGCATTTGCATATGAATTAAATGTTTATTGTGAGGGAGTCTCTTAGTTTCTAGTTTATACATGTGTTTTGTACGCACAAAGGATAATAGTCGTACGTTCAAGTCGTTGAAGTCACTGGGCTGTGTAAGCGTCTTTTACTTGTTTTGGATCTTCTAAGTTTTCATTGTACGCTATGGCGTTTTCTTATTTCAATTTTCGAACTATAAAAGCCTACTTTCATAAGCTGTCAAAGTGAAAGTACTTAGCAAAATTTTACTTTGTATTCTGGACAATTTATTTATCATTTTTGCACCAAGGATGCGGGACCAACCCGTATTAAATAAAATATAAATTGTATGTTTAGCTCGGTTTAACAAAGGAAACTATTTAAATTAAAATTACTTAATAATTAAACGTGTTTTTATATTTGGGATTTAATGTTAATATCGAATGTAGCTTTTTGACGGTATTTGAAACTATTTAATTGTGACGGTCAAATGTGTAAAAAGATTACTTTGACCATTAAAAATAAAAAGATATTTAATAAAAGTCTCAACTACTTTCAACTTTCAGCCTAATGTACTGTAATATTTTACCTCTTAGGACGATTTATGTAAAATCGTGGACAAGTGATATATCGCGAACACTAAAAGCAACTTAATATTAATCTATCGACGCGACAAGGCCAGCTATATTCATGTATCAGCAGCTAAAAAGAGACAAAATATGAATGGCCGAAACGAAATCGGATTTTTCGTTTTATGAATGGAATATATCATGCGAAGAATAAAACTGGATTCCTTTTTTTACAAACAAATGTATGTGTAAATTTATGGGGTAGTAAAAATTTCATGCGAACACGAATTTTGCTTCTATTCTAAATGTAAGAAAGCCTATATTTGAGGATACAAAAATTTTAATACGTTCTCATACGTGTCTGTATTTACATAGTTGTAAATATTTATTAAACTCAAGATATTAAGTTGCAATGATTAAAAACGTATCTCATTCTGAGTACTAAATTCGCTGGAGCAGAGATCAGTTTAATAGTAATAAACTGTTCCAGAGAATTTAATATTATCTTTTGTTGTATTTTCTTAGTCTCTGTGAAATTATTAATTTCATACAAACTATGTTCTTATATCTGTTTAATATTTTGTCCTTATCAATCTATTCTTAAAAAGGAAGACGAAATCGATTTTAAGTCTGTAAGATTTACGAAGAGATAGATGTTTGAAATTGTTTTTTATGAGTGCAACACCGAGGTATTGATTTACATTAGTCAAATGTGGGTCTTATCAGGGACTATATAAATATTAAATTATAGTAAGTGTTAAATTAATTTTAATTTCGAGCTCATTAACGTTTTTAACTGTTTATTACGTCATCCCTCCAACAATGTCGCTTGTTACCGAGGAACTGGAAAGCTGTATCAAAAAAGCTAAATATATTTAAGAGATAAACGCAAAACGCTCGAAGCGCCAGCCTTTGAGTTTGACAGCGAGCTTGTTAAGCTTTGTCAACTTTTTTACTTCTTAACTAAATAAAGGTCTGTGTATCTTTTTATGCAACATAGAAGAGTAAATAAAAAGGGGATTTTTGGGATGTTTCGTATCCGGGTTCGTTAAAATTTTTGAGTGCATTATGCGCTTTTGTTTTCGTATACGCTTTTAATTGGTCCTTTTAGCAGCTTTGTGCCTTTTGTTTTTAACATGTAATTTGTGTTATTTATGAAGCTTTATGATTTCGAGTTCCAAATTTTGGCTTTATAAATAAGATAATATTTTTGTTTTTTCGGATACGTTTCACTATTCTCGGTCGATTTATTTGTATTGATTATTCCGGTTTGTATTACAAAACATAATACTTAACTCTCTCTAATGTTTTCCATCGGCAATGGTCAGTGACAGACGTTTATATCCGTTTCAATTTCTTGAAAAACATAAATAATATTTACAGTTTTGAGCCTTTTCATTATACTTGAGTAAATAGTAATAATACAGTCACATCTCGTAGAGGCATCGTTAAACTTTTCAAAGAATCAGATTCGCGCTCCAATTTGCTCCCGATTGAATTGCTACACGCGTCAAATGACTTACGAGATTGGATTTTTTTTTCAAATTATACCTTGCCCTATTGATTTTGATACATTTTCAGAAATTTGAGTTTAAAGCGTGTTCTTTTGAAGACATTTTTCGAAGTTATTTTGTAGGTACATTTTTGTCACCAAACTAAAGCACTGAGATTTGAACTTTACTTTTCGAAGACATAATG